ACTCAGAATGGTGCACAATGTAAAACGTATGAATTGTTCATTTCTGGAATTTTCCATTTACTATTTTCAGACCACAGTTGACCATGGGTAACTGAAACTGCAGAAAACAAAACCATGGATAAAGGGGGACTACTGTAAAAAAAAAATAGCCATCACAACTTAAAAAGAAATAAAATTCCAATAAACAGGCAATGAGGAACACACTGTAGGGTCTCAGTGTGTCCCTGGTGGCAGCTGCAGGAGCTGGGGAGCCTGAGCGAGAAACACTAGAAAGCAACATCATGGCAGGGGAGAGAGGGAAAAGGAACGGAGGACAGACATTTTAAAGATTTTTTTTATGATCAAGGTAATACCTGTTTATTGTAGAAAATTTGGGAAATGCATAAAGTGTAGAAGGAAACAAAAAAGTCACACAAATTCATTTTTATACAGCAATCATGAACTATCAGAAAGTGAAAGTAAGAAAACAAGCCCATTTATAACTTCATCAAATATAAAATAAAATATCTAGGAATAAATTTAACCAAAGAGGTAAAACACCTCTACTCAGAAAATTATAAGACATTGAAGATGACACTAATAAATGAAAACATATACAATGCTCATAGATAAGAAGAATTATCATCATTAAAATGTCCATATGACCCAAAGCAATCCATAAATTCAACACAATTCCTATCAAAATACCAATGGTGTTTTTCACAGAACTGGAACAAATGATCCAAAAATTTGTATGGAAACATAAAAGACGCGGAACAGCAACAGCAATCTTGAGAAAGAAGAACAAATGGAAGGTATCACGCTACATGATAGCAATCTATATTACAAGGGTATGGTAATCAAAACAGCATGGTACTGGCATAAAAACACACATAGATCAATGGAATGGAATAGAGAGCCCAGAAATAAACCCACATGTAGATGGTCAATTAATCTATGACAAAAGAGGTAAGAATATACAATGGAGTAAAGACAGTCTATTCAATAAAATGGTGTTGTGTTAATTGGACAGATACATGCAAAAAAGAAAAAGAAACTAGGCCACCTTCTTACACCATATACAAGAATAAATTCAAAATGGATTAAAAACTTGTACGACTCGAAACCATAAAAATCCTAGAAGAAAACATAGGCAGTAAAATTTCAGAAATTTCTCATAGCAATATTTTTTCTGATGGATCTCCTCGGGCAAGGGAAACAAAAGAAAAAATAAACAAATGGGACTACATCAAACTATAAAGTTTTTGCACAGCAAAGGAAACCATCAAGAAAATAAAAAGATGGGACTACAAACTATAAAGTTTTTGCACAGCAAAGGAAACCATCAAGAAAATAAAAAGACAACCTACTGAATGGGAGAACATATTAGCAGCCGATATATCTAATAAAGGGTTAACATCCAAAATTTATAAAGAACTCATACAACTAAATACCAGAAAAAGAAACAACCCAGTAAGAGACATCTGTAATACTTTAAACAATAAAGAATTTTAAAAAGAAAAAGAAACAACACAGTTAAAAAGTGGACAGAAGAGCCCTGGCTGGTGTGGCTCAGTTGGTTGGACACCGGCCTATGCACCAAAGGTTGCTGGCTCAATTCTAGGTCAGGGTACATGCCTGGGTTTCCAGCTTGATTCCCAGTGGGAGGGCCTACAGGAGGCAGCCAATTGATCTTCTCAAATGGATGTTTCTCTTTCTCTCTCTTCCTCTCCCTCTCCCTCTCCCTCTCCCTTTTTCTCTCTAAAAAACAAAAAAAAATTTTTAAACGTGGGCAGAAGACCTGAATAGACAGTTCTCCAAAGAGGACATACAGATGGCCAATAGACATATGGAAAGTTGCTCAACATCACTAATCATCAGAGAAATGCAAATTAAAAGCACAATGAGATATTCCTCACACCTATCAGAATGGCTATCATCAATAAATCAACAAACAACAAGTGTTGGTAAGAATGTGGAGAAAAGGGAACCCTTATGCACTGTTGGTGACAATGCAGATTGGTGTAACCACTATGGAAAACAGTGCAGAGGTGTCTCAAAAATTTTTAAATGGAACTGCCTTATGACCCAGCGATTCCACTTCTGGGTATATACTAGTATAAAGAAACCTAAAATACTAATTCAAAAGAATATGTGCACCCCTATGCTCATTGAAGCATTATTTACAATAACCAAGATATGGGAGCAACCCAAGTGTCCATCAATAGACAAATGGATAAAAAAGTTGTGATACATATACACAATGGAATATTACCTGGCCATAAAAAAGAATATAATCTTACCTTTTGTGACAGCATGGGTAGACTAGAGGATATTATGCTAAATGAAATGTCAGACAGAGAAAGATAAATGTCATATGATTTCACTTACGTATGGAACCTAAAGAACAAAATAAATAAACAAGTAATAGAAACAGATTCATAATTACAGAGAACAGATTGACATTGTCAGAGGGGAGGGGAGCTGGGGGGCTGGGTGAAAAAGGTGAAGGGATTAAGTGGAAATTGGTATTTACAGAATAGCTACAGAGATGTAAATTACAGCATAGGAAATCTAGTCAATAATAGTGTAATAACATGTATGGGGCCAGGTGGGAACTTGAAATATTGGGGGGCTAGGGGACCACTCCATATAGTACATGATTGTCACCTAATCACTATACTGTACATCTGAAACGAATACAGAATAATATTGAATGTAAGCTAAAATTGAAAAATAAAGAAAAATTCAAACAAATCCCATACATAACCTTCACTAACATGTTGGATTACTTTTAGGTAAGAATATTTTTTCTATCGAAATTAGAATCATGCCTATATGCTACAGCATGGATAAACCATGAGGCCATTATGCTGTGAATGAAATAAGCCAGATTCAAAGGGACAAATACTGTGTGATTCCACTTATATGAGGCACTTAGAGCAATCAGGTTCAGAGAGAGAAAGTGGAATGGCCAGGGTCCAGGGGAGGGATATGGGGAGTTAGTGTTTAATGGGGCAGAGTTTCAGTCTGGGAAGATGAAAAAGTTCTGGTGATGAATGGTGGTGAGGGCTGCACAACAATGTGAATGTACTTAATGCCACTGAACTGTACATTTAATATGGTTAAGATGGTAAGTTTGATGCTATGTATATTTTACCATGTTTTTTTAAAATAGAATCATGTCATTTTGGCAGTTTGTTGTCCTGCTTATGATGGTATTTATTTGATGATGATGATTTATTGCACCTTAAGCAATTACTTCTATCAGACATGATCTCAGTGGTTTATTTTATTTTATTTTTTAACAGGAAACAAAGGTCACGGTAATGTTACTATTATACATTGGAACATAAATCACAGTCAAGCACAAATATCAAAACAGTAGACTCATTTTTCATCTTTAACCTGTTTGTTTTCACTGGTTTCTTCCATATAAAAGTGAATGGTTTGTCATAGCCCATTAGATGGTCATAGTCTTCAGGGTTTGGAAAGAGACCTGGATTAACTAACAGTGGTTTTGCTTTAGCATAAAATGTAGTAAACACATATTAGTATGTGCTGTTTGGAATCTTCATGTCATTCTGGTGAAACACTGTACTCATTTCTGAAAGCACAACATTATAAGAAATGGCTTTATAAGTGTCTGTTGTGGCCTCGTGGCTCAACCAATGATCTAGCCTTTTATAACAAAGAGAAGCAGTGCTGGGGTGGTCACTATAAAGCGTCCTATGATGTCATAAAATAAGATTTGCAAAGGCAGGCTTCCAAATCTGATATTATTCTGTGCAAGAATGTATGATAGAAAGGCAAGGCTGATCACACTTGTAGAATAAGAGAAACATTTCACACCAGATGTTGTTTGGGCCAGAATCCCAGTATAAATCAGCCTTCCAGATTCTGATTTTTCAACCTCTGTGCTAGTATGTAAGCATCAAACGCATCTTTCCCAACAGATACGTTGGCACAGGATGCCAGAAAAGTGGTATGGCTTCCCGCACCCCTGCGCTCCCACCAACGTCCACCCTAAGGAGCTGCTGCGGAGCGGGGTGGCCTTCACAGGGCTGCCCTCTTCCCGCCCAGCCATGTTAGGCTACCGATGGGCCAGCCAACACCGGAAGCAGCATTCTGCACCTGAGAAGTGGCCACGGACAGGCTGCAGTGGCCTGCTCTTCACCCAATTACTTGGTGGCTTATTTTAGTTTCTCATTTTCCATCTCCCCCACTGGATGAGAAGCTCCATAAGGGAAGGGACTTGGTCTCTCATCACTCTTGGCTCCTGGTTCTAAGTCCAGTAATGACACAGAGCAGGAGCTCAGTAATGTTTGTCAAATAACTCAATCAATCAACCATTAGGAAAGAGATTTTATGGTGGATCCCCAAGGCCACCCTCCACCCATCTCCAACCTGCTCTGCACCCCAGGTAATGGATGGATCTGTGTGGACCATATCAATGGGCTCCCTGCTTCCAGGAATCTGGCAGGTGGATTTGACTTAAAGGAGGGTCCAGCAGGAAATGACAGAAGCGTTAAGATTAAGGTGGGAAACTAACATAGAAGATGAGGTCAGCCCGGTCAGTGTGGCTCAGCAGTTGAACATCGACCTATGAACCAGGAGGACCCGGTTCAATTACCGGTCAGGGCACAGGCGCGGGTTGCGGGCTCAATCCCCAGTGGAGGGTGGGGGTGGGGATGTGCAGGAGGAAACCAATCAATGATTCTCTCTCATCATGAATGTTTCTATCTCTCTCTCCCTCTTCCTTTCCCTCTGAAATCAATAAAAAAAAATATATTTTAAAAAAGAAGAAAATGATGATGAGCTCAGAACACCAGGAGAGAACACAGCTGCCTCTCTCTGGTTCTGCTCTTTGCACACTGAAGAGGTGCTTTCAGTGTGCACAGGTGATGGTGAATGCCCCATAGAGAGACAGGCCAGGGGTAGGCAAGGGACCTCCGACTAAAGAGACAGATGTCATTATATTAGTTTCCTAGGACTTCCATAACAAATTACCACAAACTGGGTGGCTTAAAACAATAGAAATTTATTCTCTCACAAACCTGGAGGCCAGAAGTCTGAAATGAAAGGGTTGGCAGACTCCTGCTCCTTCCAAAGGCTCTAAGGGGGGGATCCTTTCTTTGCCTCTCCCAGTTTCTAGTGGTTGCCGGCAATCCTTGGTGTTCCTCAGCTTACACAGGCATCACTCCAGTCTCTGCCTCTTTCTTCATGTGGCCATCTTCCCTGAATGTCTCCATGTCTTCATGTAGCCTTCTTATGAGAACAAGAATCACTGGATTAAGGTTCCACTCTGCTGCAGTATAACCTGGTGTGATAACTAATTACATCTGCAAAGACCACAAATGTCCATGGCAGAAGCAGCAGAAAGTCTTGGTTAGTCCACTCATGGACTATGTCCAAGTATGGCAGAGCCACCATCAATCAGTAATTCAAAAAATAGGTATGAAGGGCCTGCTTTACGCCAGGAACTAGGCTAGGCAGCATAGATTCAGTGAGGACTAAGGGAGATAAGAGTCCCATTAATAAAAAAAAACTGTGATACATCTACACAATGGAATACTACGCTGCTGTAAAAAGGAAGGAACTCCTACCATTTGCAACAACATGGATGAACCTGGAGAGCATTATACTGAGCGAAATAAGTCAGTTGGAGAAAGATAAATATCACATGATCTCACTCATTTGTGGAATATAATGAACAACATAAACTGATGAATAAAAACAGATCCAGAGACAGAGAAGCATCGATCAGACCGTCAAACCTCAGAGGGAAGGCAGGGGAGGGTGGGGGTAAGGGGGAGAGATCAACCAAAGGACTTGTATGCATGCATATAAGCCCAACCAATGGACACAGACAACAGGGGGGCGAGGGCATGAGTGGGTGGGGGGGCCAATAGGGGTATATGGACACATATGTAACACCTTAATCAACAAAGATAAACACACACACACAAAAAAAAACCTAAAGGATGAAAGGGAGTAAGCCATATGAAAATTCAGAACATCTGACGAGGGGGAAAGCAAGCACAAAGCCCATGAGATTAAATAAACTTGGTGAGTCTGAGCACCAGCATGGCTGATCCTTAATGATCTAAGGACACAGTGTTTGGATATGGGGGAGGAAAGGTGGGCAGGAGCCAGGTGGTAAGGAACTGATATTCTGCCGATTATGGTAGGAACTTGGATGCTATTCTAAACTTGGCACTCGCCTACCCACTAGTCTTAAAGCCACAGTTGCCCTGATCTAATAAACAACATCTAAATCCACTAATATGGATGAGTTTTTCCAGGGGAAGGGTGAGGAATGAGAAGTGACTAGAACATGGGAACCTAATACATTAGTTAGCTATTGGTGCATAACACTCACAAAACATAACAGCGTAAAACAACAAATATTTATTTTATGGGTTCCTGTGAGTCAGGAGTCTGGTCATGGCCTACCTGGGTCCTCTGGCTCAGGGTCTCTCACCAAGTTGCAGACAAGGCATCAGCTGGTTTGAAACAGCAAGGATGGACCGGCTCCCGGCAAGCTGGGGCTGTTATCTCATCTGAAGGCTGGACTGGGAAAAGGTATACTTCAAAGCTCACTCATGTGGTTTCTGGCAGGCTCCAGTTTCTCACAGGATATTGGACGGAGGATCTCAGGACCTTGCTGGCTGATGGCCAGAGGCTCCCTCAATTCTTTGCCACATGGTCTTTCCATTTCTGAAAGAGCGAGGTAGAAACCATGATCTCTTAGAGCAGTGGTTCTCAACCTTCTGGCCCTTTAAATACAGTTCCTCATGTTGTGACCCAACCATAAAATTATTTTTGTTGCTACTTCATAACTGTAATGTTGCTACTGTTATGAAGCGTAATATAAATATCTGATATGCAGGATGGTCTTAGGCGACCCCTGTGAAAGGGTCGTTCGACCGCCAAAGGGGTCGCGACCCACAGGTTGAGAACCACTGTCTTATAGCCTAATCCTAGAAGGAGCATCCTTTAATGTTTGTCACATTCTATTGGTTAGAACTAGATCCAACCTACATGCAAAGGGAGGGAGGGGCTTACACAGGGCATGAAGATTGAGAGATGGGGGCCCCTGGGAGCCATCTTTAAGACTGAAGAACACTATATTTGAGGGGGTGGCTGGCAGACAACCAGCCAGTGAAGGATCAAGATCAGAGGCAAAAGGGAAAAGTGTGAAAGAGCCCAGGGGAGGAGATTCAAGTTTCAGCTAGTAAACAATTTCAAATTCTACCTACAGGTCAAGTTGAATGGAATAGAAAAGAAACTACGGAATTTGTGAATTGCAGGAGGACATGACTAACTTTTGCCTGAACCACTTTAGGGGACTAATGGGGACGAAAGCCATACAGACCAGTCCTTATTCCTCACCAACTAGCAGGGTTACCGTCTTTGCAAGAGGGACTGGTAAAAGCCAGGAAGAACCTCCCCTCCCAGCCTGGGGCTTCCCACTCTCTCCTGACACCTCCCCCAGGAAAGCGACCTCATTTCTCAAAGACAAAACGGATTCTAGGTCATATCCCCCTGGAATGAGAGACCAACTGATGTGATTATCTCCAAGAGAAAGGGGGCACCTACTAAAAGTAGGACCTGGTGCCCCAGAAGGGAAGACATCAGGGAACCGGAAAAGGGGTCTCTGATAATTACCTGCCAAGATTTCAGAATGAAGGACATCAACGTGCAATAACAACTGAAAAAAAGGAAAGAAAAGCTAGAAGTTTTAGAAGGTTTATCTTCCTCATACATCCTGCAGTTTCATTCTATTTAATCCAAGGACAGAATTCTGCTCCCCGTTTTGTAATACTCATAACATAGAATAGGTGGTCCCAGCAAAGATGGCCGCACAAAGGAATTTCTGTAAAACGACCTTCATTATAAAAATCAGAGAGCTAATTTCACAAATATTATTCCCCATTGGTCTGAGTTAGACATATTTGAGCATTAGTATATTGGGAGGAGGGAGATGTGTATAAATACACACACACACACACACACAGGGGTGGGTAAAAATAGGTTTATGGTTGTGAGTATGTGAAACACAGAGTTTGTTCTTGTGTTATTATTTATTAATTGTTGTATTATTTTCTATACAAACAACTGTAAACCTACTTTTGCCCACCCCTGTATATGGGGGAAGGGGAGTTTCAAGAAATAGCTAGAGTGAAATCAAAACATGTTCAGAATAGATATCTCTGGGTGATGAGATTGCAGATGATTTTTCTTTTCTTCATTATATTTTTCTGGGTTTATGCCAGGAACTAGGCTAGGCAGCATAGATTCAGTGCATACATTACTTTCACAGCATGAAAACAGGCTTATTTGTTAGCTTAAGAGAGGCATTTGAGTTTTTGTAATAGTAAAAAGTTGTCCCAGATTTGGCATATATATATTCCTGTAGCATTTTTTTTTTTTTTAGTATCATTTCTGTTCAGCCACATGCAGTTAAATCTCTTGGAGAGACTGAGAGCTAATCCCAGCCCTACTATGGTTCCTTCCAGGCACCTGCTGTTTTAGTCTGTTTGGGCTGCTATAAAGAATACCACAGACTGGTGGCTTAGAAACAACAGAAACTTAATTCTCAAAGATCTGGAAGCTGTGAAGTCCAAGATCAAGGTGCCAGCAGACTTAGTGTCTGATGAGGGTCCACTCACTTCCTGGTTCACAGACAGCTGTCTTCTCACTGTCTTCACATGGCTGAAGGGGCAGGGGAGCTCTCTGAGGTCTCTTTTATAAGAGTGTTAATCCCATTCATGAGGTCTCCACTCTCATGACCTAATTGCCTCTCAAAGGCCCCACCTCCTAAAACCCTCACATTGGGCATTAGAACTTAACATATGAATTTGGGGGGGACACAAACTTTCAGTCTATAGAACCTGCCAACCCAAACTGTGATCAGCAGGCTTTGAAAGCAGAGGGTGGTTTGCCTCGTCCTCAAACACAGGCTTAGAGTCAAACTAGAGAAAAATGTCCAAAATGGACCATCGAAACTAGGAACCAGAGGAGAGTTTTAGAGGTTGATACAAACTGGGGTTGGAAGATGGAAGTGAGAAGTTGGTGGACTGACAATGGGCAGTGGCACATACTGATTTCAATGCTCGGACAATGGTGGTATACACTGGGGTTTGTTGGCATGAATACATTGAACCAATTAAAAGCCAGACTAGGACAGACTACACCTCCACCCATAGCCATAATGAAGTTCACCACAGACCTATGTTGAAGCCCAAATCATCTTTGTGTAGATCTGACACAAGAGCACAAGGTAGTTTGGCACAACACTACCCAACAGAAATACTCCACACGCCAGGCAGCGAGCCAAGACAGTGAAATGCTCCAGTTGGGAAAACGGAAGCACTAATGAATAAAGCCAAGATGGACGGTTGAGTGCTGAATGTTGTCCCAAGTAAGCCATCTCCCTGGTTCTTTGCGACACCCTCTGTGCATCTCCTGGTATTAGAAAAGCTCATTCATCTACTCATTCAGGGAATAAAAATGAAAAGTAAGCACTTAGCAGCGGTTCTCAACCTGTGGGTCGCGACCCCTTTGACGGTCGAACGACCCTTTCACAGGGGTCGCCTAAGACCATCCTGCATATCAGATATTTACATTACGATTCATAACAGTAGCAACACTACAGTTACGAAGTAGCAACGAAAATAATTTTATGGTTGGGTCACAACATGAGGAACTGTATTTAAAGGGCCAGAAGGTTGAGAACCACTGACTTACAGGGTGCTTACTCTCCGTCAGCCGCTGTTTAAGCACTTCACTCTTATTAACTCATTTAACCCATGCCACAATCCCATTATCCTAGTTGACGGGTAAGGAGACAAGGGACACAGAGAAGTCAAGTGACTTTCCCAAGGTCACACAGATGGCAAAGGTCAGAATTATAATTTGAACCCAAGTTGTCTGGCTCTAGGTCCTAGGATCTTGACCATGGTTTGAGGCACCTACCAAATGCCCAACTAAAGAAGCCACTGCTGAGAGGAAAGGAGGTGGAGAATTAGGGGGGCGGGGCAGAGGGGGGAGTAAGAGAGAGTAGTTGTCCCTTTTTTCTTCCCCAGACTCTGGCCTGCCTCCTAGGGTGGAGGGATTCCCCATATGAGTCTCAGTGGGAAACAGTTTTTCTCCCTCCATGGAAACAGGAAGTTCAGACAGGACTCTGTATTTCTTTGAATTTTTTACTGTGATTCTGATGGTGAGGTCATCTTCTCTGTTTCTGGCGCTAGAAATCCTGAGTGATGGGAGAGAGCGAGGCTTAGATATAGTGCTAAGGAAAGACCCCTTGAAGATGGCGATGTTTGAGCTGGGTTCTGAAGATTGAGCACGAGCCAGCCATGGGAGGAACAGGGAAAGGAGTATGCCAGGCAGAGGGAACAGCAAATCCAAACCTTTGAAGGGAGGAAGAGCTAGCGTGTCCGAAGAGCAGGACAAAGGCCCGTGTTGCTGCAGGGTAAGAAATAAAGGGGGGGGGGGGGAAAAAAAAAAAAAAAGAAGAAGTAACAGGGAGAGGCGGGTAAAATGAGGCCCTCTTTCTCAAGGAGCTAGGATTCCAAGCCACCTCTGCAGAGCTCCAAAGGCTCCATCTAGCGCCTCCCTGCCGCCTTCTCCCTCCCCCACCTCTGGAACTCCGACGCGCTCTCCTGTCACCGCGGCCATTGTGATGAGGACTCTGCTTCACTCCCGCTTCAGGACCGGAAAGAAGTGCGTGTAGTTGAGTGTCCCTGCCTCTCCCCGTGGAGGACGCGGCCCAGGCAGGGCACCAAGCAGGGGCCATGCCCGTGCTGCTACCCCCGGTTGAGCAAAGCAAGAGCTCGCGCGTCGGGGCCCCGGAATGGCGCGAGGAGGCCCAGGTCAAGATGTTGGAGGCGCAGCAGCTGACCGACCGCTGCGGGCAGGAGGCCGTGGCCATGTGGCAACCCAAGGACAGCGTGTGGGACCCGAACGTGGCGCGTCACCTCTGCAAGGCCGCCTACATCCAGCCCTGGCGCTTCCACGTGCAGTTGCTCCAAGATGGGGGCACCTTGGAGACGCCGCCGCCGGGCGAGGGCGTCACGCTGTGGAAGAGCAAGATGAAGCCGCCGGCC